TTATGGATGAGATTGTGATTTTGAAAAATTTGTGAATAGGTTTGAATTCAAATTCTGACATATAAAATTTTTGTTTGTTTTGTTCTTTATCATATTGGTGAACTTGTTTGATTAAAAAATTATAGATATTTCCTGATAGTGGTTTTAGGTGTTTTCTTTGTTGGTTAAATATCGGGTAGAATTTTGAAAAGAATGGTGGTTGTTTATTTAATCTTTGAAAAAATGTTAAGGATGTTTCTTTTGTTTTTGTATATTTATCTTTGATTAATATTTTACTATTTAGTATGTTAATTGTTGGTATATACTTCGAAATAAATGTTATTCCAATGATATTATATTTAATGTCAGTGATATGGAATATTTGTTTAAATGGCTTATTTAAAATTTTGCTTTGTTCCATTGTTCTGGTGGGGAGGAGAAATAATTGGATTTTTCCGTAGTTTATCAATGTTGATCCTTGTGCTGTTGCTAGTTTGCTGGAGGTTTCAAGTGGTGTTAGCTTTGGGTGTAAGGTTTTTATTTCATTCCATGTGGGGATGTTTATTATGTTTGATTCTGCTCCTGAATCAATTAAAAAATCTATTTCAAGGTCTGGTGGTTGAAATTCTTTATTTCTTGGGCTTTCTAAGAGAAATGGTATTGTCCAAATTTTTTCTTTGGGTTGTTCTTTTTGTATATTTTGATAAATGTGGTTTGTATTCAAGCATTTTGTTTTGGTATTTTTATTGTTTTGATTTGTAGTGTTAATCTCATTTGTTTCTTGCGTCGTTGGTGTGGAATTTATGGGTGTAGTGTAATAATTTTGAAGAAATTCTGATTGATTTTCATATATGTGTGATGGAAAGGGTTGTTCATATATGACAGATTCATAGTCATTTTCGACTTTTATCATATTGATAGAAAGAGTGTTTTCAGTATCACTTTCTGAATCTGATGATGTACAGTTTATTTGATTGAGTTGTAACGTATCAGTTACTGTGTCATCAATACCTGGAGGGTCTGATGTTCTTTCTGGATTTGACTGTACTTGATTGATTTGTCTTTGATGTTTAGGTGTACTACTTCTGTGGCGATTATTAGAATTATTATAGTTATTATTATTCCGGTGTGGTGATTGGGAATAATTTCTATAACGATTATTATAACTTGAGTGTCGATTTTGTGAATTATTTCGTGATCTGTTTTGGTAATTATTGTTTGGTCTGTTATAGTTCGATCTATTATATGAGTTATTCCTTGATTGATTGTTCGGGTAATTCTGGTTTCGGTTGTTTGAATAACTTCTATTTCGATTATAGGAGTAGTTTCTATTCCTATTGTATGATGAATTTCGTGATTGGTTGTTTGGATAGTAGTTATTTCTTGATTAAGAATTAGATCTAGAAACAAATCGTTGTGTATTTGAATTTGATCTGGAGTAGTTATTTCGACTATTTGGTCTATTGTAGTGATTTTGTGATGAATTATATGTGTTTCTTCGTTCTGGTGATCTTCCTCTATAACTTGAGTTATATGGTGATTGATTTCTTGTATAGTTTGTATTGTTCGGGAGTGGTTTTCCTGAACTGTTGTTGCTGTGGACTGTTTTGTTCGGTAGATTTTGATCTTTTTTCATGTATTGATAGAATGATTTATTTGGTTCTTTATATTTTTGAGGTTTATTTTGATTGTCTTGCTGTTTTTGTCTACATTCGGAAATACTATGTCCGTATCGTCGGCAATAATTACACCATTTTTTGAAAGATGGTTTGCCTTTAAAGTTCGGGTTCTTTTCGTAAATATTGAGTATTTCAGTGATTTTTTCAACAAGGTCTGTCTCTGATTCCTGTATATTATTAATATTAGTGGGAGTCGTTTCAATTCTATTAACGTATTGTAATTTCAGATTTTCCGTTTCTTCTAGTTTCATCGTGATTTCTGCTTGTTCTAATTTGTCTACTAGTTTTCGAAAATCTAAGTCGGGTTCTCGAATTGAAGAAGGATGGGATGCTCTCTTTTTTATTGCTATTTTCCTTAATTGTGGTGTTAAGGTCATCATTAAGATTTCTGTCATCTTTGTGTTTTTATAATCATGTGTATTTAATGAATATGCTTTTCGAACTAGTGTTTCGATTCGTACTGCTATTTGCTTGATGGTTTCGTTTGGTAATCTGCGAATTTCATTACATAAAACTCTTTGTTGTTGTTTGTTTCTTTCGGAGTCAAACATTTTTGAAAATTCTTGTGTAAACCTTTTCCAGTTTGATTTTATTTCTAGAGGTAGTACTGAAAACCATTTTTGGGCTGCGCCATCTAAGGTTGTTTGTATTAACGCTGTGCGTCGATGTATCCAATTTTGATGTAGTGGCGTATTAATTGGTTCAGGTCCAATATTTAAAATCAGGTTTGCTGTTACTGCATTTAAATAATCTTCTACAGAGTATTCAGGGTCTGTTCCTGTGAAAACCATTAAAGGTTTGTTTGATGTTATTGATGATCCACCCATAAGGTATGGATTCATTGTCATTTGTAATGATTCTGCTGCATTTGGCATTTGAGAAAAATTTGAAAGTTGGTTTCTTGTTATTTCATGTTGTTGGAGATAATATGGGAGTGGTATTTCATTTTGCATTTGTAATGGTTGATACGAGTGTGCAGTCATTGGATTTTGTTGTTGAATTGGTTGAAAAGATTGTGTATTAATTAGATTTTGTTGTTGAATTGGTTGTTGATGTTGTGCATCTATTGGTTGTGGAGAAAAATTTCTATGATTTGTACGTGTTTTCTGTATTCCTTGTCTACGATATTCTTGAGTATTTTGTGCAAATATATCTGGTTGTAAGAAATCATCATCTGAGGATAAATAATCCATTTGATAAGATGTCTGTTTTTTATTTTTATTTTGTTGAAAAAATGGGTAATTTTCACTGTGATCCTGTGGAGGATTTGTTTGGAAATTTATTGAATTAGGTTGGGTCATTGGGTTATCCCAATTTCGAGATCTTGTATATTGGTTAAAATTTCTTTGTGGTTGATTATATGTTTTTGATGGATGTGTATAATTATAATTATGGTCTGTAAAGTTGTTTCTAGTGAATGTTTTGCGTGTTTTTGATGGTATTGTCATGGGTCTGTATGTTTGGTAATCCATATGTGAATATTTAGGGGCAACCGAAGGTTTAACGGTTGATTGTAAGGTTACCTGTGTTTGTGAAGGATTTGTATTTCTTGGTGTTGTTAAATTTGGGCGTATTGGTGAAATACTTTGTTGTGTAGTTGTTGTGTGTACAATTTCTTCATTTATGAAGTGTGATGGTGTCTGGATATCTTGTTGAGTAAGGTTCCTAGTTCCATTGAGGTTTTCATTGTGTATAACTGTAGAGTTTAAACTATTATTTTGTGTATCGGGCAAAAATGTATTATAGTTTAATGGTGTCGCATCAATGGTTAATGGTATTACTTTTACATAATCTCTTATGTAAGATATCGTACTTATTGCTTGACTTGAGATTGTTTGTGGGAAGCTTATAAATGCGGGATGAGACCATTCGAGGTCCCAAACATAATCTGATTGTTCTGTGATAGCGGTATCATCGTTCGAGTTTTGGGGTCTAAAATTTTTTCTTGCTTGTGCAATTAAATCAATATTGTGTGTGAAATAATCTATTATGAACCATGCCAAAATTTTTTGTAGATCGTGTTTTGTATGTTGTGAAACGTCGTCTTTCGTGAAATTTTCTTTAATGATGTTTAAATAACTAGAGAGTAGTGTGATTTCATGTCGTACTCTTAAATGTTTAGATGTTCCTGTCGGTGAGACATTTGTTATTGGGATTTCGTTTTCTAATATCGAAATATAACTATATATTATTGCGAAAACTTCATTGGTGAATATGGAGTTTGCTCTTTGTGAGTTATGATATTGGATGCTTTTTATATATTCTGAAAAAACTTTTGAAAATTCTAAATCAAGATCGTCTGTTTGAATTGTATATTTTCTATTATTATGGTTTGGTGAGGTGAATTCTATGGAGTAGATTCCATACTGTTGTGTTATGTTGCATATATCTTTTAAGTAGTGGTCTATGATTTGTCTTTTGATTTTTACATCTGGGAACTCTGTTTTACATGGACTGATTCCGGGTTCAAATAAATTTAATAGTAAATTTTTGCAAAATATATGCTGTCCTCTATCAGTGGTTGCATCTACTATAAAAGGAAAGATTTCATCATCATCTGGACTTTCTTCACCTGGGGTGTGCGTTGAGCTCATTTTTTCGTTCGATGACTGTTAATATGTAATTATTAATGTGTCGAATTGGTTGATTCCAATTGTATAAATGTACTGGTTTGTGTTTATACTGCTTTTTTATTCTTCTTTTTCCTCTTTTTGATGAATTTGAAGTTGTTTCTGAGTCAGAAAAATATAATTGATCGTGAAGTGGGTAATTTTTATCTATTGATTCTTTTAGTTTGTAAAGTTCGTCTAAACTGTTGGTTTCGGATTCTGAAAAGGCGTTTCGATTTTTTGAAAATCTTTTTCGTGTTATTTGTCTTTGTTTCGTTATTATTTTTCTTTTTAGTGTTTGTCGTTTTGTTCGAATGTATCCAACTGTTTGTGTATGAGGTGTGATTACAAGGTCGTATTTTTTGTTATCTATTTCACAATTGTGTAAAACGATTGTTTGTTTATTTCCTAGGTTTTTAAATGACATAAGGTTTAGGATGACGGATGCAAAAGGTTGTTTAATGATTTCTATTTTCCTAAACTGTTAGTTCTTACGATTTTTTGGTTAGCTTAACCTGGGTCTATTTGTTCAGGGTTGGAGAGAAAAGTATATCGATTCCGAAGAATGATTTTTTACTTTCTCGTGGCTAGTATAAGTTAAGGTGTTAACTTACTTAATCTTACTTAGGGGTAGTGATTGTGTTCAAGGGTTGGAGAATAGTAAATCGATCCACAAGGTTCAGGTATAATTAGAACGCGAGTAGTTCGTTAGATACTATTTTAAACTTACTAAGTCTAAGATTTATCCTGGGTCTGGTAAGAGGGGGGGTCAAGTGAAGGATGAATAACCGAAGTTCTTCACTGTTTATCCTAATTTGAATGATTAGTTTTGTTTAAAAATTTCTATTAGTTTTGGGTCTTTAGAAAGGGTTGGGTAGTGAATCGACGTTTGAGGTCGTTAGACACTAATTAAGTGGGTGGGGGAGAACAAAGTTGTTCTGTTTGATCCAAGGATAAGCCTTGATGATCAAATTTGAAATTTAATTAAGTAGAAAATGATTTAAGACCCAAGGATAAGCCTTGATGATCTGGTTTTAAAATTAAGTGAATTTAAGTTTTAATAAAATTTTAAATGTGTGTAAAGGAAAGATTTAGTGTTTTGATGATATTAGTGGGTTTATGATTGCTGTTATGTTTTAGGTGATGGAGCTGGAACAACAGGATGATTTATGATTACTAACCATTTATTGTCATGCTACTAATTTTTATTTTTTATTTTTCAATAAATATTTTTCAAACATGTTTTGTATATTACTGCAGAGTTTTAGGAAAACGATCTTAGATCTTTTTATCAATCGTTATTGTATATTAATAATTTTGTTTAGCGCCTGTAATGATTTTGAGGATTGACTTCAAAATTTTAGGTTTGCAAATGAAAATCTAAATTCATTGCCAGTAGTATTCTAAATATAAAAGTTTGTTCTGGTTTTTGCCTAACTATCATATAGCTATATGGCAAGTTTCTACTTTGTCGTATGTCGTCTCTGGTTCGAGGTCTTCTTCCAATTCCGGGTAGTTCTGTTATGGTTCGGAATATTGGCTCTGATCTATTGAGTCGTAGAGACATTTCGATTAAATTATTGTCGTATAACATTTTGTAAATGTTTTTGTCTAATTTCTAATCTATTTTGGTTAATTCTAAGCTATTAAGGTCTTGTTCGAGACTTATGGTCGCACCAGATGAGTTATGACCGAGTTGGTTAACTCATAGAGTAATTTCGGATAGGGTACACCGTCTGCTCGTCACGCTATCTTATTTTCGGCCGGATAGATTCGTGCAACTTCTTAGTCTAATACCGATCCTAATCTTACTCTTATACTATCTAGTCTCAGGTTGTTTAACTAGTCTCTGCTAGGCTCAATAGATCTAGGGTATACTGGTTTATTGCGGCTGCTGAAGTGCTCGGGAGAGTCCAACTAATTTCTAAGTTAAATTCAAATCTCTCTGGTGCTGAAATTACAAGTAACTTCAGCACTTACAAATAAGTGGGTTGTTAGTTAGATGGATCATGATTGGTTAATATTAAATACTTTACATTGGTAAAATATCTAATTTATCCAATCATAAAATGTAGTTTAGATCAGGTTCCAGTATCATCATTGCAGCATATATGCCTATAAACCAAAACTGATGGTAAAAACTCATGTACGGTTAAGAGTCTTTTCTAGTTTTCCTCTTCTTCATAAAACTACAACATAAAGTTGTTTACAACGTCAAAATTGTTACTTGTCAACTTGTTCACACTGGACATTTTTTTAAACAATTTACAATATCAGAAGTCATTTTAAATGGCTGTCGTATATCGAATATCAGCGAAAATCAAAGGGGGGGGGGCATTTTAGTATCTTTGTAATACCTTGTGCTTGTGGTGACCCTCCCGTCGCTCCTAAGCCAGACAGCCCTGTTCTCCTGGGTGACGGAGTGGGTCTCCGCCTCCAGTGCATTGGGGAAGTAGGTGTCCGGAGTCCACAGCGGCTGTTCCCGCGTGATCGTGAAAGTGACGTTGGTCTGGTTGCACACGAAGCGCCGGAAGTCCAGTCTCTCGTCCACCCACGACTGGGTGAAGTAGAAGTCAATGCGGAAGTTCTTAAATCAAAAACTTTTGTGCCATTCGAGAATCATGTTTTTTTACTCACGAACTTCGAAATTTGTTTTCATGCTTACTATAAAATCTTAAATGTTTGCAAATGACAGCAGAAATTGCAGGCTAAATTTTTGATAAAACGTCAAGTTTTGTGAACTTTTTGGAAGGTTGTGACTGACAGTTATTGCTGCCGAAGGCCTAATTAGTTGGGCCAATCGTAGCATACAAAAACGTCGCCATCGCAGTGTAAGCAGCACAAAATGTTCAAATCACAGATTTTCAAGTTAAAAAGATCAAATGGTCCAGAGAAAATTATTAAAACCTCAAAACAAACTTCCAAAATTAAAAAAAATTCAATCTGTTGTTTTTCATTTGGTAAATTTTGGCGCTGCTTAATTTCTTCTCCGTGTAATTCATATATGATTTTGTCGGAAAAACAAAAAAGAGGAGACCAGTTTTTCTCGACACTTGGAAAATTTTTTTTTTTGAAATCCAATCTTTCTTTTTAATATGCGAGCTTTTTTGCCCCTAAAAATCAGCCGTTTTCTTTGAATAAATATCATATTGAAGGGTTTTATAGTAAAACGATTTAATTATCAAAGCAAACGCATTAACTTGTCAACTTTTTTTTTGATCAAATTTGTGATCAAATTTCAGACTATTTGTTTTTGAAAGAAAGCACCAACATGCAGACTGTTAAATTGTTCACAAAGAAACGCTGCTGCGGCCATGATTAAGACCGTTTCTTAGTTAATGTTCCAAGCTTTTGAAATATAGGGTGGAATTTGTATTCGGGTGTGTTTTAGTTATTTGTTTTCCAATCAAAAATGTCAGGTACCACAAATAATCATCGGAATGGGTCGAGCGATAGACCAAATAGAAGCAGTTTCAATCCTGATTCAAGCGACATTGAACAAAAATAAATTTTCAAAAAAGAATCCAACATCGAGAAAAACTGGCTTAAATTTCTTTTATTCGAGAGCGAATAAAGCGAGCAAGCAGTCTTACAATAGCTTATTTATGCATAATCTAAGCCCTGCAAAATTAGTTTTACGCAAGTAAAATTAGTTTCTGGAGTTTTTAAGTGCCATTTTGGGAATTAAAAACCTCCAAAAAATTTTTTGAAAATTATTTGTTTTTTTAGTCTTGTTTCTACAAAAAATGCTGTCCAAATTGCCTATATGACTATAACTGTCAAAATGCTTAAATTCTGGATTTGCGTCAGGTTTTTTTGTTACACCGCCCAAAAGAAATACGCTAATTAAAAAAATCCTTTTCGTAATTTTTCAAAGATAATGGTCGGAACATTCTGTGCTAGAAAATGGTTGCCTCACTCGATGACAATAGCACAAGCCAAGATAGGGCCTTGATCAGCAAAGTTTTGGAGCGCAACTAACGTTCCTCGCGCCTTCAGCTTCGCTAATTTTCGTACAAATTTTGTCACGCTAATTGACTTGCTGCGTTATTCGTAAGTAATATCCTGGGTGTACTTGCCTCAAGGAAGTGCGAATAATACAAGAATCTTGCAAGAATATAGCTCTTTTTTCATTGTTCTGTTCAGTAAGTCAAACAAGACTGCTCATATCAGGGCGAAGCCGTGAATTTTCCGAATGTCTTCTGGGGTCGATGATGTAGTGTTTAGTTTACTGTAGAAGTTAGTAGTGTGTTCCGCATATAAAATACGCCAAGTAGCATGCCTCCATTGAATTTTGAACTATTTCCAAGGCGAATTAAATCTTCAGTTACTCAGTTACACGTCAACAGCAAAAAATATGACAAGTTAACTGTCACCAATAGGCCAAACTGACAATCTTCAAACCCCTATAAGTTTTTCATTAGGAAAATTGATTTAAAATGAAAATTTTTTCGATGCTGAGCTAAATACATCAAAATTTGTTGATTGATTTTAAAGAACCACGTCAAAATTTAGAAAGTCAAATTTTTCTGTAAAAAAACACCCGAGCTCAATTATTCCAACACTTTCTTCGAAAGTTGGACTGAAAAAAACAAAAAAGGAATAAGTCAAATTTCAAAGATTTTCTGTACCATCTGAAAGGTATCAACGTCCTGATCTCACAACTAAAATGTTTATTTATCGACTTTTGAAGAAAGTGACAAAAAATTTGTGCTCAAAATAGACTTTTCTCAATGGAAACTTCGAAATTTTAACTACCAATTTTTGAGAGTTTTGTTATAAGTCAAAAAATTTTACCGTCCTGAGCCCCAAATTGATAAAAAATTTCTACCTGTATTTATTTTTCGTAAATATAGGGGGCCTAAAAAATTGCTATTCGGTAATTTTGAGACAATCAACGAGCTATATATTTCACGCTATTAACGCGTAAGCGGAAGTTTAAGCCATCTTTTGAAATTGTTCCAGATTGACTTGAGGCATGCTATTTGGTCTGTTTGGTCTACATGATTTGACTTTCATTGAAAATTTTCTCGTCTTGAGCCCCAATTTGAAAAAAATTTCTACCTGTAGTTGTTTTTCGTAAATAAATGGGACTAAGACTTTTGTAAATTTTTAAGGCAATTACTGCTCCATAGATCTTAAAATGCGGTAAAAAACTTAGGGCTTTGCCCTGATTAGAGCAGTTCTAATTTTCTTTTAATTTCTTGTTCTGTCAATTTTTGTTAATTTTTGTTATTATAAAATTATTTTTTTAATCAATCTGGCTAATTTAGAGACAATTCATGCGCGATATAATGGCAAAAGCAGTCTTTCAATCCGGTCTCAGAACTGATTGGAAAATGAATTGAGGCAAATTGATTGGACTTATGATAACGTGTTTTCATATTGCGGTTGGAAAAACTATTTTTTTTTAGAAAGCTTTGTTCCAACCCATGTCGGAGCCTTAAAAGTTTCCCTCTGATACCAACAGTTTTGTTAAATTGAAAACGCAAAGCTCGCTGAATATGCAACAGCTTAGTAGCTATGCGGTGATGAATGTTGGCCATCCTGATTGGATGAACCATTCCGACTGAATGTTCCGACCATAGCCTAGCAAAAAAATCAATTTCTGTGTGGTGTGATACAAAATATCTGAATCAAAAAACAAAAACTAGGCAAAAAACAAAAACCTTCGACATTCATAGTCAAATAGGCTAATTGCAAAACAGTTTTTTTTTAAATGAATACCAGAAATTGTAAATAAAACTTAAGAACTTTTCAAACTTTTGTTCTCTAACTTTTTTGCAGAAATTTTTTTTTTGCAGTTCGATTGAAAGTGCTTTAAAATGAAATATAACTCGACCAAGTCCGATGATTTTAGTAATGAAACCTAACTTTGCATGGAAAAAAAACTAAACGACACCCGAGCACAAAGTTAGTCCACATTTTTCAAATGGTCGGAACAATTAATTCTACGTATTCACTCTGTATACGACTGATCAAAACAATTGAAAATTTTTGAGTTTGCCTGACAGTAGAACGGCATTTTGGTTTGTAAAACAAGAGAAGGTGTAGCTCGAAAGAGTAGGTTGCACCATTTATAGCCGTAATCGAGTTTAAATAAAGTTCTCTTATTAGGCATAAAAATTGCGTCATACTCGATGTTTTTGAAAATGTTTTATTATAACCATCCTCCGTCATCATGATTGATAATTACCTTCATTACACGCTTCAAGTCAGTTTTTATTAGTTTAGTGAATAGAACAACACCAAGGAAGGTTCAAAACAAAAGTGCATGAAATAATGATCTCTTACCATATTTGTTTCTGAGATGGGTCCAATATTGTACACCCAAATGGAAACATCCACGTCAAGAGTACGCTCTAAACAACAACAAGTTAATTACTTTGTTCTCTGTGGAATACTTTTAAACTAACTAAAACAGTGGTTTTCCAATTACATTTTCTTACAATAACTTTTCTTGTTCTGATAAAGTATAGAAATAAAAGGGAGTTTACTGTTCATGCCGGGTCGTAGTCTGTAGTCCACATTCTGAGAGGCAGCCATGAGGATGGAGGTTTCCACTGTCTCGATATCTGAAACGACGTGAAATGTTTCCTCGTTCAAAAATTATCCTGTTGTCCAATTTATTAAAGGCCGTCAGACGTTAGTAGAATACGGAAGTTGTCAAACTCATTTCATTTAAAAGCAGCAGCACCTAAATTTAATCTACGAAAGAGATTGAAGCATACGAATAATAGCAATGTTTTCAGAAGCTTCCACTTTGCTCAAAAAATCATTTTCTCTTCGGTTTTCCCATGATAATTTTTTTTTCCAATTGGAAATTTTTACTGATGGGACAACATAGATTACTTTTAACGAACTAATATATAAAAAGCTGTCAGTCTGAGTGAGTTAAACTTAAATTAGATTGGATCTTTACTGAAGAACAAAGTTAAATTATACTTCCAAAATTTTGAATAGTTTGCTTCAAAAGATTTTACTAGATTTTATACCATTCGATTGTATCCGGCGACTCTCAACACTTTGTGTCACCTGTTTTAAGCGGTAACTTTGTTCGAATTTATGAATTTTTTTATAAGTCGTTCGCAAAGTTAAGTCGTGACATCGCCCGACTTCTTTGGCTTCGAGTATTCTGTAATTAAGTTAATGGAAAATATTAAGTAGTCACAGTATATATCGTTTTTTTTCTTGTCAGATTCCTGTGCTGACATCAAAAGACAGTTGAAAGTTTCTTCTAAAGAAAAAATGGTCGGCAGCTAAGCTTATGTTCAAAAATCAGTGGGAGGCTAACAGCAAGCGTTGCCACCCTGAATTCCTGCAGCAAACCCATTTTACTCAGATCAATTAAAAAGCAGTTCTAATAATAAATTTTGAAGGTTATTAAGTTTTAAAGGTTATCAAGTATCAGGTAGATTTTGAGATTTTCAAGGCATTTTAAGTTTCTTTTAATTTTTGAAAGAATTATGAAATTTTTTGAAAGAAATTAGCGAATTGAGGGCAAGCGGTGTTAGATTTCACTTCAGTGATGGACCTGGCAACTCATTTTTTGCCCTCTTACAACATCAATTTTTGTCAATGAACATAAAATTTAATCAAAATTTTGTAAAGGTGCCGTTGGCGCCAAAATGTACGCTCAACTAAAAAGTAACACGCTCCAAAACCGCAATTTATCTTAAAACTTTCCCCGAAAAACCCAAAAAGCACCATTTTGATGTTTTTTATGTTTTCACATGCAGCGCAGAATTTTTTTTTACAAAAGGGAGTAGTAGAAGAGTGAGGGAGAGTGAGGGGGGGGGGGGGGGGGGGGGCTGGCGACCCCCATGTATTAAGATAGGCTATAGACTATCCGGTCGCCAACCTATGTATTAAGATAGGGAATAGATTTCCAATGTATTAAGATAGGGAATAGGTTTCCCAATGTATTAAGATACGAGATGGTAAGTTTCAAAAAAATTTTGGCAACCGAGTTTTTGAGCTCGATTTTGCCGATACTTGCGTTTCTTAGCTAGCTTCTACGGTTTAGATGTTTTGGTTATTGTTTTATAGGTTTGATTCAACGAGAAAGCTATCTGAAAGCCATATTGAAACCTAACGAAACTTCGAGAAAAAAATCATGTTTTTTGAAGAAAAAAAATTATATTCAAAAGATGAAGTATATAAATCACTGCTTCGTATAATCATTTAACCACAAGTTTACAATTACTTAATCAATACTGAATTGAATGCTATTACACCATCAGTTATTTACAAGTTCAAAGGTTTTGTGTGTATTCCGTCGTCCTGAACTTGTCTTTTAGGGTAAAAGTAGCTCAATCCCTTCTTTGTTTGCTCGTATGTAGCAACCATATGATTAATGGTTCTAAATCCTCTGTTTGTTGAAGTCAAGTTGATTGCTTCGTCGAGTACTTTCCTGTATTTTTCCATAGGTCCATCACCGGATTCCTCTAGAATTCTTTTATTCAATCCTTTGCTGCTAAACTTCATTTTGTCTGATTTGTTGTCATAGCAACAATAAGTCTTGCTGCATAAACATAGCATCTCCGTACACCTAAATTCTTCTTTGAACAGACCAGGCTCTCGTTTATCGTGCTTCTTGTGAACGCTACAACATGTTCGTGGAAAAAAGTTTGTTTTTGAATCTGCTCTGAATGAATCTCTGCAATCTTTTTCTCTCAATTTTTCCCAGTCGCCTTTTTTCTCCGGACGAATACAATCATACAAATTTTCCTCAGCAAGAGCTAAATACAGCGAGTCCGTGTCCATTTCTAATTCCTCGAACTTATTTACATCACAAAATTTGTCAAAAAAATTGTAGTAAAGCTCAAGCATTCTCAGCTTTGCATACTGCAGAATGAAAAATCCGACTATTATGGGTTTTTTGTGCTCAATTGTTGATTTTAGTAACTCAATCTCGTACAAGTCTTTCTGAACGGTGTTCAATCGTTTGAAGAGAGGTTCATTAATTGCTTTGTGTGTTTTCTCATCATTCAAATACTTTGTGATCGTATGTCTCGATCTGTCCATTATCTGGTAACCGTAGGATGAATTACCTAAAAGCTCCATAGTCTCTGCAACAACACCGGATAAAGGGTTCTCATCTCCTTCCCTTCTAGCATCAATAACCGACTGAACAAACTTGTTGAAGCATTTTCGAGGGAGATACTGTACAAAGCGGTAAACTTTTGTACACTGTAAGCCAAGTTCCATGTAGAAATTGAAAAGAGGAGTAATGATGGAACCATTTTCTAGTTTGAAACTAGATATTAGCATACGCTGGGGATGCTTCAGAAGATCAATTTCAATGGCATAATTTTGCATATATTCCCCAATGTCATTTCTCCCAACTTCAGTGTTTTTAAAAATTGGAGGAAAATTAGAAAATTTTGCTTTCAGTTCGTCTGGAACAACTAAGTCGCACTGAATATAGCCATAAAGAGATCCATCTCTTATTTTTTCCAATAAAGAATCAGTAGAGAGAGGTCTTTTGTAGGGAAAGTTGGATCGGATATGATTCTTTATTTTTTCGTTCGTTTTGAAATTTTGCCACCACTCACATTCCCACATCTCTTCAATTTTGTATCCTTTTTCGAGAATACATTCACGCCTCAAGTCATCCATCTCTCTCCTTCTGTTTCCTCACTCAATATCTTCATCACTAAGTGACGGACGACTCTCCTGGCAAGGACAAAAATGGTAAAAGCATCCCATTGCTTCAAACACTGTTTTGCAGTGATTGCAATATCCATCAACATTGAAACAGTCAATTTTCTTTTAATTTCCAGATGTGTGGAAGCTCTCAATTCTGCATTCTGGTCTGGTTTCTTGGTAGTAAGACATGACCATGTTCTCAAAATTGCGAGATCAGTTATGTCTAGCTTTGAATTTTTGCATATCGGAATCAAACTCCCATCTTGTGTACAATCCTGTTGGCATGTTTTGACATTTTGAATAGGGATAGAGCTAGCTCGCATCAATTCCAACAACTGATTTGCAGACATTTGATGAATCCCGGATAGAGGTTTCATCCACAACAGCTTTTCGAGTAAACACAATTGATGTTCCACCCGTCATATCCTCTCTAATTTTCTCGCACAAATCTCTATCACTTTCGCAAAAAGGGTAGAATTTTTCATTGGTTGATTTGTGAAGAAAAACATTTGCCAGATTTGAAAGAGTACATCCAAGTTTTAACATATCAATTTCTTTCTGATGATAAAACTGAAACATTTTTTGCATTGCTTCAAGGGTTGGAACAACATCTTTGTTGTTGTACCACTGCAAAAAGCTTTAAATGTAGTCATTCCATGTTTCTGCCAAATCTCCTGTAAATATTTGTAATTATCCCATCCAGATGCAGGTACTGACCTAATTTGAAGTTTCTTTAGTGCTTGCTGTTCATCAAGTCCACTTGACTTCAGGTTCTGGTAATCCTTAAAGTCTTTATCAAGAGGGTTGTTGTTTCTCAGTTTACTGAAAAAGGCTTCGTATGGAGGTAATTTTTCACTCTCGAGCTTGTCTGGACTGTCAAACCACTCATAAGGGAAAAACCCTTTTGTTTCACTGGCTTTGTAAGCTTTAAGAAAGGAGTCTAGAGAGGTTGCTCCACCCAAAAATTTCATGATATCGAGAAACTGTATATCTCCAAACTTGAAGGATATGAAATCGTTAGCCTTTCTGATAACCATAGGTTCAGTTTCTTTATCATTGATTAAGTAGGGAATCAGATAGCCCTTGATCAAGTTCAGATCATATCTTCCACTGTTAAACCCAAATACAGGTAACGTCTTAACATACCTCTCCAGATTTTGTTTCAAATCAATCAGCTGATTTTTCTGCATTCTCAAAAACTGAGTTGACATATCAGTTTCCTCTGTATCTTCTATATATTCATCTTCGTATTCAAAGTTTTCAGTTGAAAGATTTCGACATCTTTCATTCAACTCTTGGAAAATTTTTGACATCCGCTCATTCACTACTCTTTCAACATCTCGAAATTTAGTCCTCATTTCGAGCTTACCTTTTTCAGCCAAAAGTTCGAGTTTGATTACAAAATCGATAATAAGCTTTTGCGGATCCTTGTTATAAAGAAAAATTGGTTCATCTATCAGGTTCGAGGATATTGATACAGAAATTGGAACGTGTTTTCCAATCCAAGTTGCTGTTTGGGTAGCTTTCAGTTCAACTGATGGAACACATATCGACTCAAAATCGAAAATGGCTAGGTTGTTGAATAGTGTGTTATCTTTCGAAACTGGGATATTGAAACCATCCAACTTTTCAAATAGCGTTTTTCGAAGTGTATATACATTCTTTGGATAAATATGTCGCACTCGATCTTTACAAGTTAGAAGATGTCGGTTGAAGTTGTCTGATCTGTTGAAGAAACAGTCACAGCTAGGACATCGAAAACACTTGAAGAAGGAATCAATATCATTCGTGTGAATAATATGGTTGTTGAATCTTAGCAATTTCACCGTTTTTTCAAACTTTCCAATACTTCGCCTGGCTAATTCTCCAACATATTCTCCTTCTTGAATATCAAAATCGTAAATGAATATGTTTCGTTCAACTA